CCACGTTTTCAACCGTTCAACCCTTAGGGTAAAATGGCCGTGCAAACATCACGAGCATCAGTGGAAGCATGCAGGCCAGGATGCAATGGCCTGACCCACATTAGCGTGCAACGACATGGCCGTCAATGCGATGGTCACCGTGTAGAACTTAGCTTTGGCAAATTTGGAGTCAAGCGCTTGGTTCAGAGGGAGGGGGCGATCTTCAAGGGCCAACCCAACTCGGAACCTGAGAACCGAAGACGAAACGCTCTGCCCCAAGCCGGCCCTGCACCCAGTCTGGCCCTCCCTACACAGTCTGGACCAATCTGTGCAAAGTAGCGCTGAGTGCCGAGGCCAAGCAGTAGATCCTTGCAGGATGGGGGATGATGGGAGTTTCTTGTGGCTAGTTGGTTGCCCCAACCCTAAAATTCAGGACCCTGCCAGTGTCGCGTGATTGTCAGAAGGTCGATTTGATGAGGGTTGGGGCAGCCAAGCAACATTGTCAAGTCTTTGGGTTCCGGTTCATGTGGATTTGCACCGGTTTCGAAGTGTGCTGCCACAAGCCATGGAGATTGCAAAGTCAGGAAATGGTAAGAGTGTTTGCATTGTTTGTTGGTTTTTTGGCTGTTGCTGCGCCTGTTGCAGCTTAGAACCTGCTGCCGCGAGGTGCTTTGTGCTGTTGCTGCAGGCCGGGTTGCTAGACTTCTTTGCTATTGCTGCAGGGCGCTCTTTGATTTTCGTGTTTGCCGCTGCTGCAGGCGGCGCTGCCGCCGCCGCCGCCGCTGCTGGGGCGGCGGCTGCGGCGCATTCTTTTCGTGCTGTCGTCACGGGCGTGCTCACTCCCTTACTAGCTGGCGCGTGCTGTTTTTGCAGTGGAAGTGGGGCGCGCTCTTGTTGCGGCAGGGCACGTTTTTGTTTGGCCGTTGCTGTGGTCTGCGCGCTTTGCTTTGCGGTCGCCGCGGTCCGCGATAACATGCGACAACACCATGTACCAGCAAGACCGTCCAAAGCATCAAAGCAGCATGCCCTCGAGCACCCCGCTGCCATAACCCAACTACAGAAGCCTTATAATTAGTTCATCATTCCAGACCTGGGCATCTTCCTCCTGCGCTTTTCCGATCCCAGCTTCAGCTACTTGCGGGGGCCCTCAAGTGCTGGACTTGCCCTGAATCTTCCCCAAATCTGGGGCACATGATGAAGATGGTGCCGCTGAGCGTGAAACGTCCGGCCTGGGGGCTTCGTTGGTTCTTCGAGCGGACTCCGCCGAAAAAAAGACCCACTTAGAGCTCGCAGAGCCCTATAGTTGGCCATAACCCATACACCTCAGTACAACTACAGGGCCTAACCTTGCAGCACCTGGCAAAAAAGCGAACGACCTGAGCAGAGCAAGCCCCAGACTACAGGTAGCCTAAGGTGTTCCACCTATCAGAAATTCGACTCGCATTCGTTGCAACAACCAAGAAAATACCTTGCACAACATATAAAATCGTCCACAATCTCATGGGGCCTGCTCGAGCTCCTTCTTGCTTGCGCGCGTACCGGGGCTGTCGTTGAGGACGGCCAAGAAGGTCAGCCCAAACTGCTCGTCCTGTGCGGTTTGGGCTTCCTTCATTGGATCCTTTTTGCCGCCTAGTTAGACACACGGCTTCCAGGCACCGTAACCAGCAACTCTGCCACTCGGTTTCGGCCTTCCCCACAAGACGGACCAGGCAAGGGCTTAGGCTTCTGTTCGGGGCTATCAGGCAACATGTGTTATCATGTTATGGCACCATGCGGCCTTCCACATCACGATTTGCACACCAGACCTGGAGCAGGCCACATAGAATTGTCGACTCTGACCATGGGGCCCTGGACTTGTGTCAAGCCCTACATGCTGAGCGCTATCAAATCGGCGATGGCTGAAAATGTCGCGGGCCACAGGAAAAGAGGAGAGAAAAAAAAAGGTTCCCAGGGCTGCTATGGTGCAACAATTACATGATTAACAGAGTCTGAGCCTCCTACACCCTAAACAAAGGCGAGGCACTGGTCGGACGTACCCAGTGCATACTTTCGACACCACAGAACAGTGTCTTGAACGCGACTCCGTGCTAACTAGATCTTCATCTCCGTCTAAATCACGCTCGGCCTTCCTAGCCGGTGGTTTCCCTCGACGTTCCAGAATAAGTTGTGCAACCGTGTGGGACCTCAGGCATGCACCCTACATGCCTTTCAACCTTCAACGTCCACCGCTGCCAAAAAAAAACATCCGATGGCCTGTGCTGTCGTGTGAGAAGGGCCGATCGGCACGGGGAACGGGGGGCCAATCGCCCAAAGCTGATGCTATATTGCCAACTCCCTCATCTCAGGCACACCTTATGCCTTTCAGCCACCTTACCCCGTGCACGAATGCTGAGCCCGGCGCCCCATGGCAAAAATGAAAGAGCCGACGCCTTCGTGCCGCTGGGATGAGGTGGTTTGAAGTGATTTGGCTTGCGGAATCTACGGCCCCTTCACACGCCAAACATACAAAGTGCCTATGTCACGTAAGTCAGTCAACGCCAGAAACAGTGGTTGCAGATGTGCGCTTTCCGCTGGAACCTTGAACCTGACTTGGAGCTGATTCTCTTGCACGGCAGTCTGCACCATTCTGTACAATCGCGCGTCGAGTGGCCGTAGCTGAAATTTGCTGAATAGTCCCATCCGTCGGCAAACCCGAGAGTGGCGCCGACCTTCGTGAAACGCGAATCCAATCTGGAACCCTCTTCCCGAAGCACCGTCGACTTGTCAATCCCTTCCCCCTATATTGGAACACCCGTAATTCTAAAAACCCCTGACCCCAAAACCCGATCCCGTACTCGCCCCTATTAAAACCTCTACCGAACTTAGGGGGGTCGTGGGGGGGTCGGAAGCCTGAAGCAGACTCTGACTCTGAAAGACCCAAACGAGTTCCTCTCAGTCCCTGGGCTTAGGGTCTCCCAGCAAGCTACCTATAGGACCGGGCTGTTTTGTTCGGGCATTCGATAAGAACCCCCTTCTGATACTGGGGCAGGGGCAGGACTTTAATGTTGGGGGGACGGGATTATTCTTCTTGGTAATGGTGCCCGTGTTGCTGATGGTACCCTTCCGGTGTTGTGGCAAAGGGTGCGATTTAGAGGGAGAGAGAGAGAGAGAGAGGGAGAGAAAGAGAAAGAGAGAGAGAGAGAGAGTGGTTGAATCCAGTGACAGGGGCCCACATGCAAACCAGAACACATCCTAAACGCCACTTAACGTCCCAATATGAAAGTCCCATGTAGACGCTCTGAACTCTTGACTTGGCAAAGTTTGGGAATCCTCGGAAAACGGAGCCGTAATTCATCGGGGGCTTCCGGGTTTTGTTGCGATGCTCAGGTCCAGAAGACAGGCGGCGAGAAAAAGAAAGCCTCCAAGCGTGTTGAAGATCGCGCCCCAGAAGCCTGAGGCAAGCTTTTGCCCGTTAGCTGGCTCGTGGCCTGCAATGCTCTTACACGGGTGGACCTTTGGGCAAAGCAACCCATGGTAACCGGTAACCTCCAAGATTCTCCCCACTCCTGGGGGCGTAGGGGCTATGATGGCGGGGAAAGGACCTTCGAAGAAAAGGGCTTTGCCTCCGAAGAAGAAGCTGAACACCACAACAGAACAGAAGCCCGGAGCCCAACGACTCGGCAGCCCTAGACCCTATAAGCCTAGCTCTGCTGGGCAGGAGCCCTGATCTCCAAACCGAGCCCTTGACCCTGTGCCAGACTTGAAAGGTTACATCCCGAAGTCCCCAACCCAAACAGGGTCCGGGGTCGCCATAAACACCATGCCCCCGAGCCTTACATGCCGCCTGAACCTCTAAAGCCAGCCGCCCGAAATGACGACGCATCAACATGTATCAAGACACCCTCCCTCAAGAACTGCGCAAGTGCGTAACCCCACGTGCCTCTTGGCTCAGCAGGCTCTGCAGAAGCGGAGCCTTCCAGTAAGGCTTAAGCGAGGCTCAGGATGGGAAAGCTGGAGTTGATGTTAAACGCATGCGCTTGCTAAGTGCAGTTGTCTGGACTGCGCAGCAGTGCGGAGACTAGACACAGTGCTGTTGGTGGTTTGGGCGGGTACAAGCATTGGGAGTGGGTGGGGGCTGGGGAAACTACGAGGGACATGATGCAGACAAATCTGAGCTTAACTTTTCGCTGGTTCGAGTAAGTTCAGTTTTGCCGCCTGCCCAGGTGACTTCGGAACAAACCCCAATATGAAGATTGACGGCAAATCTTTCTGACTAGATCAGTGTCGCTCGGTCTCAGTCTCCCACTCGGATGCGCAACGATGCACTAATTCGGGTCAGTGGCCCATGCGCCTCCGCCCACAAACTCAACTGAAGCCACCAAGAACCCCGAGCCCCAGTCTCAGAACCAGGCCCGAGCAGGACGCGAACACTTTCTTGGTTGGCAGGGGCGCGTGAGGCTTGGACTCCAAAATCACAGCTTTGCAGCGGGGCTTGAGGCGGAAGGTCAGTCTACTGCTCGAGTCGCCGGACTTCTGGTGTGACCATAGCCTCTGAAATCTGCTTGGGCGATCTCCGTGTTTGGGCTTGAGGCGCCTCAGGCAAAGGTGAAGCCTCATTGGTGATTCCCCTCGTCCCAACCTGGTGTCCTCGAAGCCTCGAGAAGACTTACGAGCAGAAGTTTATGCGCAAGATCAGCGCCCAAAACCTGAATGGCCCTTTTGCAACCCTAAATGGGAGTGGGATCTGTGGGCGTAATCAGGTTCAGACCTGCCCCGCAAATCAGGGCCCTTGCACAATGGCTGTTTGGGCTTACATAAGCCTGCGTGCAAGACTTCGGAGGTTTTCGATTCCAGGAGATCGAAAGCCGAGCCACATTCTCCAGGCATTCCATGAGACCGCCGCCGAAGAACATCAAGGAGCCGAGCTCGAAACTAAGCCTGAGATCGGCTTGTGTTGAACTTGCGCTGAACTTGCCGGGTCTGAAACAGGTGGGATTGGCCAATCAGGACCAAATCCACCGCACTTCGAGTCATGAGCATACTCAACTTTTCCTGTCGAGTCCCAGCCCTGACCTGGGCTTTGGCCGGTTTGGGACGTGAATGACTTCACCGAGGCACAGCAAGGTCCATTTTTCTACGCTGTGGGGCAGGAAGGTGCAAAACTCTGCCACCAAGCCCACGGTAAAAGACATCACACCTGCAGGCCATTCGTCGTGGGAGTTCCGAAGCCAACAGGAGTGGCAAATATGAAGAGTCCCCTCAGCCTTTAGAGCTTTGGGTTCAAAGCTTCAGGGAACATCTGGAAACCAAGTGCTGCTGGCACGCAAAGAACTGACACAGTAATGCAGGCAAGCCCGAAATCCAGAGCCATCGCCTGCCTAGGAGGTAGATCAGGGATGCCCAGTATGGCCACGGGCCGCTACCCAATCGCTTCAGATTTCGGAGTGCCTGGCGCTGTTTTGTAGTGCCCAAGCTGATGACTTTGCAGCTCGCAGGGTTTTGGATTGCCGGCTGTAGGTCCGAAGATTCAGGATCTGAATGAATTTTAGCTCCATCCAGGCTTTGCACGTTTTGCGAAAGCTAAAGGCAAGACGACTTCAGTGGAACTTCGAAGTGGACCAGTCTAATCAATTCAATAATGCTCCGTAGCCATGCCCAGCTCAGAAGCCCTACAAGAACCTCACAAGCATGGCCCTCGGCACACGGTCGCTGTGGCGCTACACCAAGCAGGGACCAAATTCACAAAGCCCTCTGGCCCGAGCGACCTCCCACGAATCTCTGTCAACATCTTGATAGAAGAATGGGTTGACAGCTGAGAGTTATGTTGGGTTGCTTTGGAGTCTTTTGGCCCCAACAGTTGACTAAGACTACACTCTTTCTCTTACTCACCCGAAGGGCCTTGCCTTCTGCGCACGGAAGGGATTTAGGTAGAAGCGCTCGGCTTGATTTGCGTCCCTTCTTCTGGTCTCCACGCCCTCACCTGAGCTCAGGGTTAGGTTAGGCGAGTGAAGGCCTAAAATTTGAGGCTGGACGATGTTGCAAGATATGTCAAATGAGGGTGCAAAGGTTCGATGGCAGTCCAGATCAGACTTTCGGCCATCGCAAGGAAGGAAGCTGGGAGGGGCCCCCAAAAGCCCGAAGCCAAAACTTCCCCCGAATTTACCTCAGGATCTGTAATCGGACCCCAAGACTACGTGACTAAGCCTCAAGTTTCAAGCGGTCGCACTTTTGGGCTGCCAAGGCACCCAGGCACTCCCAGCCTCTGCAGGGTCTTGGGGCTTCGGGCATCTGGCCCTTGAAGGGGGCGGGGGGGGGGGACAACAACAAGAGCTAGGAATGCTAAGCCCTAAGCCATAGGGTAGAGTCGAACACCAATTGAGCGATACTTGAAGTGTAGGCCGAGACCGTTGCAGAAACGTCCGCGGGCGTTGCTTTTTACTTGTGCGGCTTCGCTCGCAACAGTTTTTTCACTAATCTGACGACGTACTTTGCAACTTGAGCTCGGGTGGCATGACTTTTCTGAATGGAGCTTCTTTGAGCTTCTTTGGGGGTGCCTCTGCCATGCCCGAAACTCCTTAGTGGTGCTCTCCTGATACGCTCGTAGGGGAGCTGAGCAGACACCCTGATGGCTGTACCCTTCCGGCTACTGGCGAAAAATGGGAGATGAAAAGCAGAACTTCGTGGTCTGAGTGCTTAGAATAGAACTTCGGAGCAAGACCATGACGATGAGGGCTGCGCTCCACTGAGCCGAGACGTGCTGAGCTGCTTAAAGGCTTCCCCGTAACCTACTGGTCCACAGCTTCAAAGCCAAAACAAGCCTAAAGTCAGGTGCCCTACAACTTTCTGGCCTGGACCATCCGAGTAGTCCGAGTTCTCCTCAACATCGTGATGGTCACGTGTCGTTGAGGACTCATCTTCCTTGTGCAAGGCTTGACGCTGCTGGCTTCAGGGAGCACATGTCTCAGACATATCTGGAAGCTTGGTTGTTCGTAGATCCTTGAGCGTGAGATGGCCCAGTGCCTGACATTTCGGCTGCGTCCTTCCGTCCTTCCTCTTCCGTTCTTCCCTCGAGCACACGATGCTAGCTCCCTTTCTGATCCTCGAGCACACCATAGTTTGTGCAACGGGCTGCTACAAAGAAGATGGATATCTCACCATGGGCTCGGCAAGCTAGCGAGAGATTTGCGCTCAGAGCTTCCCCATGTGATTGAAGCGCCTCATCACGCCAAGGTTCTGAAGAAGAAGAAAGACTTTGCGCTGTCAGCTTGTCGATCGTTCTTCGCCTCTGCTCCTCGTGGTCGGCAGTCAAGTTGATCGTTTCCTCAGCTGTGCCGACTGATGCCTTTTGAGCTTGGGCCTTACGCTTCTGGTATGGTAGTCGGATTCTCGGATTGTTGAAGCCAAGAGGTCTTTTCATTCCGAGTGTCGATGCACATCAAATAGGTGCAAACAATGAAATTGATCTTGCCACCGACGTAGCCCCACTTGGTCAGTGCTTCCTTCATTCTGCCAAGATCCTCACCGTCCGGAACCAGCTCACATGAACACGGGCCACTTTAGGAATAGCACTAAGTAACACGAAATAACTCACCCAGCAGCTGCCCGTGCTGATTTGGGTCAAGTCAGCCGGCCGGCCTCCGCGTAGCACCACAGGAAGGAGGAAAGTGTAAAAAAGATCGAGCCTCGGGCGTTCAAGCCGAGCAGTCCAAACAAGGCACTGTAAGACTGTAACTCCGAGCAAACAGTTGTCCCACAAGTCTGCAAAGCATGTCTGCCAGACAGGCCCAGCAAAATGCCCTACAAGCCTGCAACCCTCAAGTGCCCGGTGTCAACGATGCACCTATTCTGCAGGAGCCGAGAACAAGAATCCCTCGGGCGGAGTAACCGAAGACAGGTCGCCTTCAAAAAATGTCACAGCAATCCAGTAAGATAGGGTCCTCCGCCACTGCCAGACCTGCATAGCTGGTGAGGTCTTGGCCAAAAGGTGTACAAGACCGCTGGGTTAGAACTCACCAATTATGTTGGGTTTCCGTGGCTGGGCACCGTCAACGCAAGCTTACACTGAGCACGACCCGGCCACGCTAGCGTCACCCTGCCACATGCGCCTCGAGAGAAGGGTACCAGAAGCCGAATCCTGCGACGGAAGCGCGTCGGCTGCCAGCAGCAGGGACATCAATGGTAAAGGTCAGGGAGCATGAAGCGATAGTAAGCACGCCATCTTCGCTGGTGCTTTATTTGCATAGCGTCGGTACCGGTGAAGAGCATGCGCAATGGCAACAAGAGCAGCAGCAACAAATTCAGCCATAGTACTCAATGATGAGGGCAACGTTTCGAAGCAATGGTAGCGATGACAATTGGCAGATAGTGGCCACAGCCAAAACGACCAGCCAACCATCATGAGGAGCATGCCTGATGTTCTGAGGCCATACTAGATGCTGACTTCTGCTAAAACCTTTTCCAACCCAGGAACAGTCTCGGCCCGCCTTGATTTCGGTGTACTCCAGGCTGCGCCTAAGCAGCATAGCTTTCAGAGTCGTCCCTGATGCTGACTTCGAAGACAGACACCCGCCCCCTACCTAGACGCAGACCAATCTTCGTGCAGGCATTCACTGACCTATAGCCCAACTGTGATAAGAGTGTAACATCGTGCCTTTCAAACCTGCGGCGGAAGAGGCCAGGCAGGACCATGCTAGCAGGATGCTTCCTCAAGCACTCAGCCTCCAAAGCAAGTTCTTCAATTTGCCGCAGAAATGCCCAGCACCCAACGTTGCCAAGGCACGTGCCCGACCTCGCCCGAAGCCTGCTTTGGGGTCCAAGGCTCTTGCTACGATCTGTGCCACGCATATTGTAGAGTGGTCAATCATGGTCAATCAAGGAGTCAAGCAAACACTCATCGAAAGACCCTTTCGAAGTTACCCAAAAAAGAAAACCACATCACGGTTGCCGAGAACTTCCTCTGGCTCTGTCTTGTGGAAGTGCTGATGCCGGGTCTGATAGATTCTGATGGATCGGATGCTTCAGACGCGTGCGAAAGAATAAGCTGTCTGATCAGCAAGGGCAAAGACTAATTACGAACCGACATTGCTTCAACCCTCCACCATCGTTCACCCCTCGATGCCATTTTTGAGTTAACCGCCTGGAGCACTTCTGCATTACGTTCTAACCCCAAAGGCCCAGAGCCCTGCCCAAGCCGCCCTTGTATTCCGAGTGGCTCCATGGGCGTCTCCGGTCCGCCATGCCAAGTATCGCTCTCGGTACGCCTGGGGCAGGATCCGAAGTGATAGGATAGGCTTCAGGGATGGGACAGGGTTGAATTCACAAAAGGGTCTAAGAATCTCAGAACTACACAGGGTGTTGAGGCGGGCTTCGGAACCTAACCTGAGCCCCCTCAAGGCTGCCCTGCATCAAGAACCCAGCCGTTCCGAGGCTTGGGGCACTCACTACCCGACGGCCCACGATCACAGAGTAACGGTCTGAACAACTCCTGCAGCTTAGGTGCAACATACTCTTCCGTCATTCCCATCCTTGTTAGGTCGAGCATGTTTGTGCAGGTGGCGGCGATTCGGCTCCAGGGGCTACTGGTGGGAAGAACGTCTGCTCAACTCAAAGCACTCCATCGCAGGCTGTGAAGACTCCAAAATTTCAGAGGCGCATCACCAGGCAAAGGTTACCCTGCTGACAGCAGATTGCGATTGTCCTGCTGAGGATGTTGAAACTGCTGGGAACTTCGTGGTAGGGCGAGGGTGCGCTCCTTAGTCTTGGGGCCTTTCGTACGTGGCAAGGGCTGAATCCTAACGCCCACCCACGTCTTACTCCCAGCGGCTCGTCCAGTTTGCCCATGAGGTCAGGCAGCTCCCTTACTCCTCAAATGGACAGTCAAAGCACCCAGCACCCAAAGACCAAATGCCAGGACACTAAAACAAGGCTCGGGCTTTTTGGGCAGGGCACAGGGCCTTGCTAGTCACAAACTGCGCACAGTGCAGGGTCCGGCGCTCCCTCTGCTGATGTGATGCTTGCTTCTTAAGCTTCGAGCAAACTTCAAAGCGTGTTCTCTCGCTCTTTCACATAGCCGTGGCAGCACTATACACGATACTACACCACCTCCAGCAATGCAAACACAAAAGTGCACCAGCGTTGTTCAATCCAAAAACTCTCAACCCGTTGCCTGAAGCCCAGGATAGCACGCAAGAACGCCTGCTGTGGGCATCTTTACCGCCCAAGGTCTCCGAACCAAGCCATGCCTACAGCTTGCTGAGTGGGGTGAATGCCTTTAAGCGTCTGTCGATTTCCTCGACGGACGCTGACTTCCTGTAAGTCCGCCGACCTGGGCAACCAGGGGAAAAGTCAGTCTTTCAACGCTGAGCAGCCGATGCCACGACGCCTTCTTGGCATCTGTGAAGTCCGGCGGCCATCAATCAGAGAACCCTGGATCCTAAAGACTCCCAGAAACTCCTTCAAGTCCCAAACACCGTTTGTTTGTCATCCTTGCGCAGAGCAGGGACGCATGCCTAGGCTTGGATTTCGGGCCACCTGCAGCCTCACACCGCACTTTAGAGATGCGATACGTCAAGAACTGTACTTGGTTGGGGCCGGGGAATTGCAGGACGCCCCTCACTCTGCCCTGTGCCCGAGCAGCCTCGCGATGATGCTGCCGCCTTTGCGCAGTTTTTGGGAAGTTGAGGTTTGGTCTGCGCCGAGTTGGGATAAGTGGCTGAGTTCTCGGAGACTCCGAATCTGCTTGTCCCGGCAAACCCCTAGAATGAGCCCTAGAATGTCAGCTTTCGGCTCCAAACTTCTAACTCCACTTGGGGCCCGGAAAAAACGGAATCTCCCGGAAACGCTACGCTACTGAACTGTGAAAACGGCCTACACAAAGAATCAAATCCTGTCTACCATAAACCCCAGAAGCCCCACTGAAAGCGGGAGGATCGGGTTGACATGTCTCCATAGATGCAAAGTCCACTTTGGAACTAAGGAGATCTAATGGGCTACATTCGTGCCTTGGGCAGATGGAAAACGTAGGGCCATAGGGTGCTGAGCCGCAATCTGGAATTAAGAATATACTCGACTATGACTATAATGCTGAACCTCCTTCCTTGATCTGGTGAGCAAGGAAACGTCTTGAAACACCCTTATCGGAAATGTCGGAATAGTACCAATCACTTAGTATGTTTAGCCTTTGCCTCTGTGCGATTCGCCATCGAGGCAAGGTGCTGCTGCACCTTCCGGAATGTGACAAATCTGCCGCCACCCGTCAAGTAAGCTTAGAAGACTTTGCATGGGAAAGGAGGACGGACCACTTTGGCAACGGCCCATCTAGGCCCAGAACAGGAAGCTGCACATTTTTTCGCAACATCCGTGGCCCGAGGCGAAGGTTCCGATGAACTCACATGATTTTCCCCCGTAGGAAGCTTCGTCCGATATGGAAACCTGAATCCTGCCAAGGCCAATGTCTGTGTCTCTATCCTTTCCCCGAGCAGAAACACCGACGCTACAAGCTCTAAACTGCCCCAATCTGCCCCATGTTGATGCACCTCGGTCCCAAATCAAAACCCACCCTGAAGCTCCTCGTGAACCTGGAAGAAACCGTTTTTGTGAAGCAGGACCAAACGATCCAAAGGAAAGCTCTCAACAGATTTGGCCCCTGCGCCTTTGGACTAAGGGACTTGGGAGCTCCTTCATCAAGCCTCCGCGTGGCAGGCTCTTTTAGCTGGAGAACGTCTTGATTCCAGGCACGTCGGGTTCTATGAGGGTTAGCACTGTCACTGTCAACCCCAAACCTTCCTTTGCAACTGTGCGTTGGGGACCTCTAGACGTGAAAGAGCCTCAGGCGCACCGACAACTCCATCTTAGCCCTGGTGCGTCTGTCACAGGTGTCTGGGCAGGCCCGGGATCATTTTGTCGAACAAACTTCGAACATCGTTCCAAGGTGCCTGATGACAGGCGCGGACGCCAGGGCCATGGCTCCCGTCCCGACAGAGGAGGACTGAGCTTTGAGCCTTTTGGCCTGATGCCATGTCCATAAAAAACTCTAAACTTTGCTGTTTCAAAGCTCCCTCCCTCCATCACTGTCGACTACGACTACGACTACGACGACGACGCCGACCACGCCGACGACGACGCCGACGACGACAACGACGACGACGACGCCGACGACGACGCCGACGACGACGAGGAGACGGTGACGATGAAGATGACGATGACTATGACTGACTACGACTATGGCTAGGGCTATCGCTACCGCTACCGCTACTCCTCCGCCTGCTCTGGCTCCTGCTGCTTGCCACTGCCTGCTGCTACTGCTATCATTGTTGCTGTCATAATAGAAGCTCTTTGGTGGCCTCGGCCCACGGATCTCCCTTATCCAAGACCTTAGCCTGGTTTTTGGGACCCGTAGCAGATGATGGCCGCAGTGCTGCTTGGTGCGGCGCTGGTCTCTTGCAGCCGGCGCTGCGCAGCTGCCAGCGCACTGCACCTCGGCAAAGACAAAAGAAATTTGCAGAGCAAAGTTCAAATTCATCACGTCAGGCCCGGAAGACTCGAATGGAGTCTGGAATGTTCAAGGTGGGGAATCCGGTAGCTGGTAGCTGGACGTTTCCACCCATTCTTCACTGTGCTCATCCCAAAGTTGCACCATGTCCTGCTGCAACTAAATTTGCATGTCCACTAATTTGATTCATGTGCCTCGGCAGCCTGCATTCCAAAGGCCGGCGGCCGGCAGACACGACCCTGCTTTCTCGGCCTGCGCCCTAAAGGCTTCCGCGGACTATCGGTCGCTGCAGGTCTCTTGGTGACACGACGCACACCCCAAAGCGCCGAGGCTCCAGGCAGCTGGACGATCTGACCTTGTCTCATTCAGGGTGTGGCAGCTTCTTACAAGGCCAGTCGGCCACTCTGCTAAGCTTGGGCTGGGATGTTCAGCAATTTGGGTATTGATTCGATGTGGGGAAGATAACAGCAGCTTCCCATGAGCCCTGCCATCCTACAAACCCTGACCCGACATCCTTTGCCCAAGTACCCTTAGGGTTTAGGGTTTAGGGTTTACTATTTTGAGTTTAGGGGAGGTGGAAAACTCCAGAGAGCACAAGACTCTGAGCCGATGGCTCTTGGCCTGCGTTCGCGCTGCGCCCACGCCTGCTCCTGTCCCCACGTGTCTGGTCAGGGCTTCGACTTGGTTTATGTAGGACGCCCTTTTCAAAATGAGCCATGGAGGATGACATGCGGCGCTTCGGCTGTATTCAGGACTACTAGCACGTCTCAGCAGGAAAGAAACATGAGCACATGCTACCCGAATCAAAATGACAAACGGAGGCCGAGAATTACTTGCGCACACCTGCGACGACTGAACTGTCAAATGCATAAGAAGCGTGACCAATTCTTGTCTCCCTCGTTCCCAATGCCTATGCAGCTGGGGCATGTCACAACCCCTCACTTTCAAGGACTGGAAGACGCAAACACAATCCACAAGGCTAACCTGACATTTGAAGAACAAAGGTCCCGGCTGGCGCGAGCCAGCTCAGACCGAGCATCACGCTCTGCGTCGCTCAGAAGTCGTGCCTGCATGCAAAGACTGGGGGACTGGACGCCCCAGAAAGTGGTGTAAACCAGTGTAAGCAGCACCTTCTTCTGCTCCAAGCTGCGGATCTTGGCCTGCTCATCTAGTTATAAGGGCTGCTGGGATGTCTTTGATCAAAACCGTCAGGATGCACATGGGCACACATTGGTGGCTCGAACTTGACGTCTGCTGGCATGACCGCTCCCGACTTCTCCCGGAGAGGTACAGAGCTACCATGGCCTTCGCCGTCATCTCGCTGGCGTTCTCGCTTGCCTGACCTCTGTGGATGAGTCTGGCTGGGGGTTCAGGCCGGGATCGGGTGATCCTACAAGTTCTGCCACAGGGGATTCAAGGCAGCGACGCTGAGAGAAGCAAGGGAAGCCGTCGGTCCAACTTGACAGTCTTTGTCAAACCCGGGGAGCTGGCATCGCTCCCGCTGCACGGCGATGTACTGCTGCAGCTCCTGCAGCGCACGTGCTATGACTCCTGGAACTTTCCACATCCTGCGATCATGGGGCATCTTTCTCCGATTCTCCTACTCTGCTTACACCATCTACACCTCGAAAAGCCCTTGTCATCATGGGCACAACCATGGCCTGTCCATGAGGGAAGCCCGGGCAGGTACACAACGCAACACAGGTCACCTGTCTTATATTGCAATGAACTCGGGCACTCCTTTCGACACCTTGCTTCATGGCGCTGCTCCTGCGCTCACAAAAAGAACACTCTTGCAAGAAGCGCTCTGGGGTCCACATAGTCAGAACCTGCTGGGTGGGAATCTCCGAATCTCCTCTACCGCCCCGAATGGTAACAGCCGAGCCAAGTCTGGCTGTTAAAGAGATTTTCAGAGCCTGAAAGCTTTACTGGTAAATGACCGTCCTCGAGGGCTTCTGCCTGGCGCGAGGCTGAAATTGGCACCTTTGTGGCCCGTCCCGAACCAGAACCTACGGTTTTCGTGGATACTCCAGCATGCGGCTGAGGTGGTGGTACTTCTAGCTGTCTGGGCCCTGAAGCCGCGAAAGCTGGCCGTCATGAACTTGAATAGCCGAATCCCCAAACCATAGGAGAAGCCACGGGGAAGTGGAGGAGATGCAGCCGCCATCTGATGCACAAGCCTGCACTTCTCTCATGCTCGCTGGAATCCCATGGCCACAGGAGCCAAGTGAAACCTGTATACTACCTGTATGAAAGGGGCCAAGTCGGGTCCGCAACGGCCAGCTCAGGGGCTTCTGGGTACCCTGCGGAGCCCTGGAAATCTGTGAGCCATCGAGAATCTTTTGGAACCCTTCTGCTTTTTTTGGGGGGAGGAGTGGGTCTAGATGGTCAACGGAGGACAAGGATTTGGGTTTTGGTCCGGGAGTTCGGGCTCAGCTTTCCAGTTCGTCTGGGCATCAAAAGTCGTAGCTTCAGGCGGAGCGCCCACCTGGGAAGCTACCTGCGGGTCTTAAAGAATTGTGCATCAAAGGGTCCATAATACTTGGACCACTGATAAAAACTGCTAAAGTACTGCGGGAAGGGTGACGTCACAACGACTCTTAGCCTTCAGCAGTATTTCACGTGAAGTTGCAGGTCTGTTACGCAAATCTACAGCGCAATGGCCCTGACCATTTGTGACGTTGTTGGCTCACGCACCTTCCGACGCCGAGCTACTGAAGACTTTGTGTCTCCCTCCTGTTCCAGCAGCTGCAGCTAAGAAGCCTGCGGGCGTGGGCTTTGTGGACTGTGTGCGTCAAATTCATCAGGGTTCCAGTGACGCCTACTGCCTACATGGAGAGCCAACGAATCGGGCACGATTCTGATTGCGGTCTGGCCGTACAGAGGCGAGTATCTGAGACACCTACCTGCCGAGACTTGCCTCCATATCCCTAGTGGGAACTTTGGCATTGCAAGGTCGTGCCTGGTTGGCATTTAGCTGCGTAGGCGGTGGGCCAAGAAGCCCGTGAGGCAGCCGAGCATGAAAGCCAGCCTTTTAGCTTTAGGAAAAGACAGAATTGTCCACGGCAGTCCAGGTTCGCGATTCCAAACCGAATTGCACGTCGCGAATGTATATGTACACATACAATATACATGCATACATGCATACATGCAGACATGTATACATGCATACATACATACATACATACATACATACATACATACATACATACATACATACATACATACATACATACATACATAAACACATAAACACATACATACGTACATACCGATGTACCTGCATGCATGCATGCATACCCACCCACCCACCTACATGTGTGAAACCACTGTCAGACATAGGTTTCGCGGCCTTACCCTGACTCTTCAAAGCCCAAGCTGCGCCATCCACTCTCCAGGCCTTAGTCGCTGAGAAGCTTGACAGAATTCTCAGACTCAGACCCCAAAGCGGTCAGCTTTTCAAGTTTCAATGGGAGTTCAGGGCCACCGCATCCTTGACAACAGTCTCCCAACACCAGTCCGAAGAGCCGGCGGACAGGCACGGGATCCTGGGAGTCGAAGCAGACCTGGATGCTGCCACTGACAAGCTTTGAAGAAGGCTTAGGCTGTTGTCACGGCCCAAATTCCAGAATGGATTCGAATGGGTGGAAACACCCGACTACACTCAACTCGCTCTCACACACACACACACACACTCTCTGGCTTGGCAAGAACCCATGCAAAGAACTGGGACAAGATGTTGTTGTTGTTGTTTTTTTTTTTTTTTTTTGGGGGGGGGGGGAGGGGGGCGGGGCGTCATGTCATGCATGCATGAAGATGAAGTGATCATTTTTGTCCCAACTTGTGCCAAACACCGGGAATGGTACAAGTTAAAAACCATGAAATGCCAACCAGTGTCTCGGCGCGGCCCCTGTTGCACCAAACACCAGGAAAGATGCAAAGCGAGGTGAGATGGAAGATCAATAAAAGATGATGTCCCCCAAGCTGCCCGCAGGGCCCATGAGCGGGCGAAAATGCGGGTACGTGTACACAGGCTTGGGGCGGGGGGTCTTCATTGACCAGGAGCCCCTCCCCACCTGGTCCCTGCAATGTAGACGGTCAAATGGAGCGGTTCAACAACAACCCGCAGGCACGCGAAAGATTGGACAGTCGTGTGTTGCACCGTGTTCAGGTGTTGCCACAAACAAACACTATTTGCACAGGTCTGGTACGGTTCCCGGTTTGGTTGTCAAGGCTCCCCGCTATGGGACGCGGAGATGGGAAACTAGCTGCTACGAGTAACTAGCTCAACACCCTTCTTTGCCTCTCGACACACTGACCCGAGCCGAAGTGCAGCAGCACCACTCTCCTCGTCGGAGCCAGGGTCGCCACCAAGATTAAAACTCAAGGTGACCTGGACGTCAGTTGCTTGCGATGGAGTTGTTGTTCAATGAGTGTTCCCGTGGGAGATCCCTTGTCCCAGTTCGGGGTGATTCTCACATGCTAGCTTTGGTTTTAACGGCAGAACTTTAAAGTAAGGCCTACATCCGTAAAGCTGGCTATGTCAGCGCGATCACCGAAGCGGCACAGTCACCGGCAATCTCCTAAGCCTCCAACTCCAAATGAATCCAAAACGGCGCCCCTCTGGAAGCAAGTTCGTGGCTGAAGAAAGAACATGGCCTCATTATCAACACTGGAGGAGCTGTCCGCAAAAAACGTGACGTCGGCAGCCTTTCAATGGGGGGGGGGGGGGGGCACTGCCGGGTTCGTCTTTGACGCGGCATTGGCGCGATTACAAATCTCTCCGAGCAAAGTTGCTGTTGCTGGCAGAGCCAGACACAGTCATGTCCGCAAACGTGCGCGAGCTGGTACTGCAAACTTCCGTCATGCTTTCCTGCAGCCCTTGGATCGGGAAAACAAAAAAACCTCCTCAGCCCCGAGCCCTGCAGTGCAGGTCCTACATCTTCCTGCATCATTAGCGCCAGTACATTCTGAATAGGTGCGCGCTGACAGAGCCAGGTAGTACGCAAGCCGCAAGGCAACAACGCGTGCCTCTTCGAAGGTCACCGAGTGACCGATGGAGTGATTGGAGTTTGAGCGCGCGCGGCTGGCCTGGCTCGCCACACTGAGATCCTGAGCTGTCACACGCTGGACTGCACCAACTCCCTGCCCACTACACACAGAACAAATCCTGAGCTGTTTCCGTGGGTTGGGAATGAGGTTGCCAAGAACCACAACACATAGCGTCGACAACTGGCAGCTTTGATGAAACAAAAGCATCCTGAAGCCTGGAAGCCGTGCCCACGTGTGAGACCGACATCGAGGCAATGGAGGCCACTCCAATGGACGCAGCAGCCTGTGGGAAAGTGGGCGCATGCCCTTGCTCGCAAACTCTTGACACATTGTGTTGCATAGGCCGCTCTTGGTCTTATCCAAAGCGGCGGCGCTTCCTGAATGCCCTGAGTGCACTTTGTTCGGCAACTACACCCCGACATCTACCGGCCACCAACACTTCTACAAGCTCACACAAAAAGCGAGATGACAACTGGGTGGGCGTGTGCAGAAATCGTTTGGTACCCGCACTGGGCAGCCCGCACACCCAAACCCCCATGAAAGCTCTTAAGCCGGTCGCCAATCTGCACGCCCAAGCCCAAATGGCAACTCTTCAGCCGGCACGGGTCCCAATGGCAGCTCTTCAGCCGGCGCGGGTTGCCGGCCCGCACGCCCAAAGCCCCAATGAAAGCTCTTCAGCCGGTAGCCAGTCTGCCAAGCCCAAAGCCCAAATGGCAGCCCTTCAGCCGGCGCGGGTTGCCGGCTCGCACGCCCAAACCCCCATAAAGCTCTGAAGCCGGTAGCCAGTCTGCACGCCGGCTCGCACGCCCAAACCCCCATGAAAGCTCTTAAGCGGGCAATGACAGCTCTTCAGCCGGCGCGGGTTGCCAGACAGCACTCCCAAACCCCACACGCCCAAACTCCCATGAAAGCTCTTAAGCGGGCAATGACAGCTCTTCAGCCGGCGCGGGTTGCCAGCTCGCACTCCCAAACCCCCATGAAAGCTTTTAAGCCGGTCGCCAGTCTGCACGCCCAAGCCTCAATGACAGCTCTTCAGCCGGCGCGGGTTGCCAGCCCGCACGCCCAAGCCCCCGTTAAAGTTGTCAAGCCGGTAGCCAGTCTGCACGCCCAAGCCCCAATGACAGAGAGCTCTTCAAAGCCAGCCCGCACGCCCGAGCCCCATGAAAGTTCTCAAGCCCGTAGCCAGTCCGCATACCGTTCCTGGCACTTTGCCGAAACTGCCTATCCTTTTTGACATAATCATAAAGCCGAGGCTTACAGGTCCGCTGAACGTCCACGAAAATTTACGGAAGTCGTCGCCATCATACGCAATCTTACTCCACCTCATGCAGTCAGGAGTGCCAGGCGCCACCACCCCTCGCTAGCCCTGCACACTGCCACTCTGTCTGTCTTAGACCAGCAACCTGCACTGAGATCCTGCATTCCCATGAATCTGCTGTACTGGCAGAACCCATGAAAAATCATCAAGTCGTCAACTCAACAGACGAGCCCGGAACCGCCAGAACCTCAACAACAAGGCGAAAATATTAAACCTGCCCTTAACCCCCACAAAAAAACCTGCCTCAGAGGTGAGAGAAAGAACTTTCGAGTGCCGGCGCTCGATGCCGCTTTCCGAGGACTTCTCCGAGTACTGCTTTTGCAGCCTCATGGGGGTTCGTGACGATTCGGAAGTCTCAACAGCAGCTCGAGCATGAAAGGCGAGGCCGTGCTCAATAAGGTATAGAATGCATAGAAACTTTACCGTCCTTGTCCGTGTTCTAGCACTTACGTATGGCGAATTCTGAGCAAAAGGGGTCCAGGGCCTGGTAGAATGCCACCTCACAAGGCTTGCAGCTTGGCGCGCACAAGTACGCATCTCTGGGCCTACTCGTACTACAGGCAAGCCAAGCCAATCAGAGCCGACGGGCAGGATCTGTGAATCCCGCCGCGAGTCCTGTCTCAAAGCGGTCGAAGGTCGGGACTATCCGACACTTCATCTTTCTGATTGAAAGCCGAGACTCGCAACCCCAAGGCTGAAACAAAAACTTTGGAAGTCGCCACTTCCAAACTAAGCAAGTTCATGGGCACTGCAAGGATGTAATCTGTGGGTCACTTCCAAGGGTACTCTGTGGGATACGATGCGGGCAGCTGCAGGGATTCTGTGGGGGTGGTACTGGGCGTGATGGCGCTCCATGGATAATTTGCGGGATTCGGGGGAAAAAAATTGAAGTCCAACAACCCCTCGCCGAGGGTGGGGACCAAAACTCCAGGCACTTCCAATGACTGAGCCCAATTGAGCCCCATGCTTTCATGTCAGAAGGCCCTGGCTCTCCCTCCCGAATTTCTCCGCCAAAGCCTGGAACTCCCATCATTCTCATCCCAAGCCCCACGTGCTGGGATGTCCTTCCGCGAGTACTTGTGGTGTCGGCGCGATCGCCGGCTCCGTGTGGTTTGACTCGGTGTGAGGACGTCCTGCTGCTACCATTCACGGAGGCGGTGGTGCCGATGTGCGTCCACTGTTGTGAAACTCCGCGACACAAGACTATAAACAAGCCATTAATGACTCGGACCGCAGCCGATGGCACTTGGCGAATGTGTCCACCCCTGGATATTGTCACATACAATATTGTCGTGCAATGCCACTGGGCACTCAATTCCATCGCTTTAACATCTTCGGAGCCCGTCCTCGGACTCCTCCTGCGCACTAGCATCTGCCTGGCAGTGTACAAACAAACGAGGGACAATCTTCAGCCTGAAATCGCAATCGTAGAAACTCCAACCCTCCAAAGCGTAGACAAGGATTCCTGGGGTGCCTCGCCGATCCCTGCCTCGCAAGCCGACAACAAAGCAGACAAGCACTGAACTCCACTTGCCATAGAAGGTGTCCTTGCAAACCAGTTCCCCAAGTTTTGGCAAGAGGCCCTGCCCCACTGCGCGTAAAATCTTGCAGCAGTCCTTCCCAGGACCCGCAGCCCCAAAACCCTAAAAGCGACCTGTGAGAGCGGCCCTAAGCCCCTTTTCTTTTTCGGCCCTAAACCCTAAACCCTAAACCCTACACCCTAAACCCTAAGCCCTAAACCCTAAGCCCTAGACCCTAAACCCCAAACCCTGAAACCCTGAAACCCTCACCGGCCTTGGCCCCAAGAAGCAGGCCAACCACTGTGGAGTGGCCATTCATCAGAGCCAAGGCCAGAGGCGTGCGTGCGAACATGTCCTGGATGTGAGTGCTGCACATGGCTTTCAAGAGCCGTGGGGGTTAGGACGCGTGTAGGGTCCGGGTTTAGGGCAATACAAAAACTTAGAAGTTAGAACTTCCTTTCTCAGGCTCGCTTCGGAAAGCAGTGAAACCCTCCCCCGTCAGTGATCCTTTAGTGTTTTTTTCATGCCCCACTCGTGCACAAGGTACACAAGGCTTGAAGGGTACGATTAGGTATGGGTATCTTGACGTTAAGATGCCCCCTGCAACTCTGAATGCGTGGCCTTGATACCCCCCAGAAGCCTGGCTTGTGGTGGGTGTGCCCGTCCTCAGTGGTGATGTCGACCTCCGCATTCCCAGCCTTGGGTGCACGCTTGCTGCTCCTGTCTTAACATAACAGTGTACCAGAAGGACTCACTGTGCCGCCATCCCGGTTTGCAACACGACCCTGCCTAAAGACCTTGTCAAACCCGATAGGGAGCTCAAAAACCCAACCTGTTATCAGGGTATGGGGCGGTCATGTTCATCAAACGAAGTCGCTCAGTGATGAACCGTCCCGTGAACCTTTTTTCTCTCAGGTGTATGCAGGTTTCGGCGCTGCACCCTTGGATCATTTTGCTTATTCAAAGAGCTGATACAGAAGTCCAAGGAACCAAGAGCGCTGCCGCGGCCTCGGCTTTACCAGTCCAGGCAGCGACGTGCAGGGCGGCGGCTCCCGTTGAAGTCCTACAGCATCCTACAGCTACAGCTCTACTTGGGGCTGTGAAATTCTTTGTGACCTCTTGCTTAGAGGCTTGGAGCTTCAGGATGTTAGCTTTGCGGATGTTGGCGTTGGGCCTTTGTGCCGGCTTTCAGGTTGCACGATGGAACCGGTCGCCCGAAAGGTGGCATCAGCCACCTTCCTCTGCCCTTGAAGACTTCACAGTCCTTGCTTCCATGTCTGCCTTGTTGGCCACAAGAAGGCGCACAATGTTCTCGTTTCCTAAGTTGGTCTGGGTTCAGAACCGATTTCAGCAGCTGGGAGTGGGGCTTGTGGCTGTGGAGCTGGAACGGGCTATGGACACCCTAAATCGTGAGGCTCGGAACTTGCACATAGCTTCCCTGAACTGACCTACATTCAACTCGACCTTGAAGGGCATCTATTTAGCTCCGCGAAGGCTCCCTCTTGGCATGCGATGGTCAATGGACGATGGCCAGCGCGGCCATTGTAGACAGTCTCCGCCTCAACCAGTCGATTGTCTTAGCCCTATAGTGAGTTTTCTGTCAAGTTAAGGGTGAAGGGGTCGTGCATGCGGTCTAAGACTCAACGGTAGAGTCAGTGTTCCGACTGGGCCTGCTGAAGAAACACCGGTGCTCCAAGCCTTTTGAAGCCCCTAGGCTCTAAACACACTTGGCTTCGACAGACCCGACATCCCAATCCCCCGGCCACAGGGCCGGCCCCTTTGCCTTGCCAGTTTTGCCACCCGCCTAGCTGACACTCCACATTGCAGGGAACCGGTCTGTCCATATCATGTGGAAAGTCAGTCGGGAGACAGTGCTTCTAAAGAGAAGCAGAAAAACATCTCAAACCACGTGTGCAAGGCTTGTTTTTGGCACCCGCATAGCTGGACGGACCACTTCGCAGGGATTCTTGGTACGACAACTGTGGACAGACAAATCCGTGCACAGGCTTTTGAGTTTGGGGTTTGGGTTTGGGAGAGCTAGTGTCATTATCATTTCCCTTTGGAGAGTGGACATTACCCATAAGTTCGAAGGAATGCGGCAGGCGAAATGAAAGATTTTACGAACAAGCTCCCCGGGCTGTTTTGTTTGTCTCTTGGCTCCGATGTCGGGTCAAACCCCTTGGAAGAAAACCAAGGCCCATCTGGAGACGTACGGAAACCCATGGTGCTTTAGGGGAGGTGGTGATCGTAAGAGCAAGAGTAGAATGATCAGGAGTATAAGAGTAAGAAGAAAACGTGACGGAAGCAGCGCATTTCTGCCGAGTGCTTGCGCGGCAAAGTTCAGGTGATCAGATGTGGATCTGCATTTCTCTCGCCACAAGGGTCAGAATTGCCCCAGGTCACAACAGACCCATCGCCCAGAATGGCAGCGAAAGCATCGCGGGTAGCTTGGATCTGCTGCACGTCCTTCAGCAAAGCTTGAACAGCACTGCTGTCGCCACCACAGGCGGCATGGCCCCAGGTCACAACAGACCCATCGTCCAGAATGGCAGCGAAAGCTGCATCGGTAGCTTGGATCTGCTGCACACGCTTCAGTTGATGTTGCACATCGCTGCTGTTCCCACCACGGTCAGCCTTGCCCCAAGTCGCAACAGACCCATCGCCCAAAATGGCAGCAAAAGCCTCGTTGGTAGCTTGGACCTGGCGCACGTCCTGCGGGCCATCTGGCACATCACTGCTACATATACCGGCCGCAAAGCCTAGGCAGGCGCCGAGCTCGCCCCAGGTCACAACCGACCCATCGCCCAGAACGGCAGCAAAAGCGCGGCGAGATGCTTGGATGCACTGCACACCCTTTAGCTGAGCTTGTACACCACTGCTGTCGCCACCATGGCCAGGCTCTCCCCAGGTCACAGTAGACCCATCGCCCAAAATGGCGGCAAACGCCGATTCGGTAGCTTGGATCTGCCGCACGTCCTTTAGCCGACCTTGCACAGCACTGGTGTTGCCACCGCAGTCAGGCTGGCCCCAGGTCACGACAGACCCATCACCCAGAATGGCGGCAAAAGCACCTTTGCTAGCTTGGATCTGCTGCACGTCCTTCAGCAGAGCTTGGACAGCACTGCTGTCGCCGCCACAGGCAGCAAGGCCCCAGGTCACAACAGACCCATCTCGCAGAATGGCAGCAAAAGCCCAGGAGCTTGCTTGGATCTGTTCCACGTCCTTGAGCTGCTCTTTCACAGCACTTCTGTCGCCTCCGTAGTGAGGATCGCCCCAGGTCACAACAGACCCATCGCGCACAATGGCAGCAAAAGCCATTTTGGTACCTTGGATCTGTCTCACATCCCTCAGCTGCTTTTGCACAGCAGTGCTGTCGCCACCAGATCCAGGATGGCCCCAGGTCACAACAGACCCATCGCCCAGAATGGCAGCGAAAGCTGCATCGGTAGCTTGGATCTTCTGCACATCCTGCAGGCGAGCTTGAGCAGCATTGCTGTGACTGTCGCCACCATGGCCAGACTCGCCCCAGGTCGCAACAGACCCATCGCCCAGAATTGCAGCAAAAGCGTAGTCATTGCGGAGAACGTGAACGCTGTTGATCTGCAGGGTAAGCGCATTACCGCTCTGCAAGCCACATCCCTCAAGCGTGGCTGCTCCGTCGAGAATGCCTCCGGAGGAGTGTAAGAGCCTGCCTCTGCCAACTGCAAGGGTCTTCAGTGCTCGATTCTTCAAGGTCTCTACATGCTCATCCGGCCCTGCTTCCAGCAATACCGACCTGCCACTTAGCAGGCTCACTTCAATCGTAAGGGACATGATGCGGCTCAGGCTCCCTGCAACAAGCCTCTACGACTCTGCAACGACTCTACTGGTTTAAGGCCTACACCTCCACCCCGAAAGAAGGAATGCCAAATCCTTGAACCTTGGAACTCTCGGAGTTGCCATGCTCGGTTCATGCCAGCTCCCGGGCCCGGGCATCCAACAGCATATGGGTTAGGGTGTTCGGGCTTGAGGTCCCGGGTTCAGGGCTTCAGAATGCTTCAGATAAGCACAAAGTTTAGGGGTTACGGTTGCCGCACGCTTCTCAAAACTTTCAGACTTCTTGAGCCCTTACCAGCTTAAGAGCCTCGAGGTCCCCCTTCAAGTCCACGAGAGCCTGTGGGCAGAAGGTTGGGTTCATTTTTGTGCTGAGGGGCTTGGGGTGTGCCCGAAGTTTCACACCCAGTGGTGAAGGTACCAAAGCCTGCCCTCTTGAAGCCTCAGCGCTACACACACCTTCACCCGGCTAGCTGCCAGCTTCAAGTTGGACCCTTAACAACGAAATCCCAAGCTCATTAAATCCTTACCCACAAATCCCTTCCCCCTTATCTGCCACCAGGACGTTGTTGAGTTTCCACTGACTTTTGGGGGTTCAGGGTTTAAGGGTGGCAAATAGAGGCTGGGCTGGGCGTAAGCGTTGAATCGCCTGCGTGATGTCGGGGTGGCCATGCATCGCCGCGAGGTGGAGAGCCGTGTAGCCACCTGTTGAGGGTCCATGCTCACACTATACTATCTCACACTGGTTCACTGATTTGCTGAATCCTAAACCCTAAACCCCAAACTGCAATCTCGCTTCACTCGTCCCAGTCTCCCCGTATTCCGCCACGGAAGCCCGGGCCACCCTCCGCTCGAAGCTCGATGTTGGCTCGCAGCGCCAGGAGTGCGAGGACGCTGGCCTTAGAGGATTCAGGATGATTCTTCGCCATCCCGGGCTCGGAGGGGCCAGGTAGGCAAATCTCATCACACGGCGGATCTCTGCAGAGCGACGTGCATGCTGATGGGTTTTCTCAACCCGCCACTGCGCAATTTCACGTAATGAATGATGAGAAGCTACCGTTCTAAAGCAGTTGCATTTCGAAGGCCCTCCTGGCGCAACCGCGAGGCAACCTGACCGCACTCCACTGCCACTCCCAGAGGAGACCTCGAATCCTGTCGGGGTTGAAGCGGCAAAACTGCTTCAAGAACTCAAAACAAGTGAGAGAGTGAGAGGCAGGCCTTTGTTGTGGGGAAGTGCATTCTACAACTCCGAGCGCAAGCCCTCAAACCTTGCACCTCAAACCCTCAGCCGCCGGCCTCGTCCAGAAGGTTCAGATGCGCGAACTCCGTACGCTCGAGCACTGCGACCATGGCAGCCACCTACGGATGCAGACGAGGGCTTTGGGGACCGGGAAAGGGAGAGGGGTGGGGATGGGGCCCTGAATCTTGGGGGTCGTGTTGCAAGCCGTTGAGGCCCAAGCATCCAAAATCCCCTGTAAACCTTCGCCGAAGCCCGGGCAAAACCCCCCAGATCCGTGGAGCCTCTTAGTTTGCCTTGTGTGCCATACGTAACCCACAAAAAATGAAAACACCAAGCAACATGGCCCCCACCGCCATGCCTCAACCGGAGCTCAAGCTGCCTAGCCTCTGGAACCCATGTGCCCCCCACCAAAAAAAAAGAAAGAGGAAAACAGAGCCTGAGAGCACGCCGCAGCCACGTGGGTCACTGTCCTCCCGCGGATGTTGCGCCAAGTTCTGAGCTCCTGCAAGGCTAGAGGCGGATCGCTGGTGCTCGTTGGCGCTGTGCTTCACGAAGGTTTGGGACTCGCTCACTGGGCTCTGGCACTGGGGGTCTTCGGCATGCGATCTTGAAAGCTTTTTGTTTGTGTTCCGAGAGTGGCGCACGTGTTGGTGGGTTTTGTGGAAGCACTCCTCTTGCTGTTTGGCGCACGGTTTTGGGGCAATTTGACTCTAAAGATTGTAGAGATGTTCCTATTTTCATTGGTTAAGCGGCATTCTAATTTTTTTCGAATCTTCAAATTCTGTAAAACGTCTAATCTTTAACTTAGATGCCCCAGCGGGCCCGCAGGCTCCAGATCCCCTAACGAGACTTTGGTCAAACCTTTCACATCTTTAAAGATTTATTAATTGGGGGGGTTAAAGGCTCCTGGGCCTCCCGGAGCAGTTTCATGTTAAACATTTTCAAGCTTTTGTAAGATGTAAACGTCCCGAAGCTCCAGAACCCCGATGAAACCTAAAGACTGTTAGGAGGGTTCTCAAGAAGATTTGCGCAAAATCGAAGAGATTTTAAAGATTTTCAAAGACTTTGTCAAATTTGGATTGGGGTCTGGAGCCTGCTGGCAGAGGAGGCGGTTCAACAGAGGCATAGTTTCTGAAGACCTTGGTGAGCCGCTCGGCGTTGTTAAGCCTCGGAGATTTTTGTATTCGAAATCTGAAAACATGCGAACGCTTAAATTGCTTAAAACCGAAAATCGTCGCATGATGTTCCATGTTTTAAAAAAGGTTTTGAGGATTAAAACCGATGTAGAAAAAACAAACGCTTAACAACATGAAAACGACAACATATTTCAATTTTCGAATTGAACCATTTCAAAGGTTTTAGCATTTTCGTTTCTAAATTCCGGATTGGCAATGTTTGAATCGAATCAAAATGCTTAAAATCCTGAAGCTTCAAAGACCATCTGTTTCCATTTTTGTGGCTAGGCACGCTTCTCTCCACTTTTGTAGCTAGACCCCTTATCTATCCACTTTTGTGGGTAGGCCCTTTTGTCGCCACTTTTGTGTCGGTTAGCCCCTTTGCTCTCCACTCTTGGGGTCAAACCCCTGTTTCTCCACTCTTGTGGTTAAATCTCTCCACTTTTGTGGCTAGAGGCCTTTTTCTCCCAACTCTTGTAGTTAGATCCATGTCTCTCCACTTTTGTGGTGAGACCACCTTCCCCTTTACCTTCGTCCCTTTCTCCTCCCTCTCGCTCTCACCTGTTGGTTTTGCTGATTTCTTCCTCCATCCTTCTCTTTCTTTCCCTTCTCTTCCAATCTTCGTTCTCCTCTTCCCTCTCCGCCCCTTTCTTTTGATTGTGTCAAGATGGGCGAGTCGTAAGGATAAGAAGGAATGACGAGAGAGAAGGAGGAGTTCTCCTGCTCCTTCTGACTACCCTATCCTCTATCATACAACTCTCTGTCTTCTTTTGCTTGGTTCTTCTTAGGAACGGGCAGAAGAGGCCTTCTCTTCCTACTAGCAAGGTAAAGGTCTTAAGTCTAAACAGCTCCAGATATTCATGTAAGCAGAGCGTGAAAGGCTTCTAGAATTTGCAATCAGGCATAGAAGCTCAAATACATGAACCGATGCATCTCACTTGAATGGATGACTTCTGAACATATAGAAGCTAGATGAACTCTCAACATAGTTGGACTATATGACCCGAAGTATGAACAACAAGGGGTTGCCAAATGATACCTAAAGATCCATGCCACCACAGCAGACTGTCTTTTCAAGGGGTAGTATGTCCTCTTCCGAGGAGCGGCAGATGCGACCCAAGTCTCCTGCGTGCACGCGCGGCTGTCGTATCTAGGGCATATACGTACAAACGAAGCGCACAAAGCATCGGACAACAGGCGAAGGCTCAAAAAGGTGATTTCAGAATAAACACCAACAAGACAATGCACGGCGAAGCCTGCAACAGCTGCCGCCATGAGCTCGGCTCTTTCCATGGCCTCTTTTATACACCCTGAACCAGTTTGGGGACGGTGCTTGGGTTCACAGCACGCCGTAACCCGGGTTGGGAAGAGAGTCGGGCAGGTGGATGGGTGGAGCCTCTTACATCGCGGGCGCTTATTCAGCGGTTGCTCAGCGAGTTCTAGAGGCCCTGTGTTGGGAGAGACGTCCCTTGCGCTGCGTTCTCAAGACTCAAGAGTGTGCCTGGCGCGCAATCTTCCGGACAGTGCCTGCAGGTAAGTCGATGTGAAGGAGACATGACTCGGGTGATTCGATTCTCAGGCAGGAAAGTCTCACTCAAGCGGCGGGATGCATGCTAGCTTGCATTGCCATCATTCTGCGCATGGCCACAACCCAGGCATCTGTTGCTATCTTTGGGTAAACCCACCTAGCAGCACTCCCCGGAAACATGCGCGAGACGTGGGTGACCCAGGCAGCATTGAGAATGACTCCAAACACGCCCACGGAAGAAATGCAACTTAGCTGCGATTCAGTTCGCTGATGCCCCCTGTCTGGCGGCGGATGTAAGCCAAAATCCTCAGGTGACCGAAGTGAACGGAACCTTTGGATTCAGGACCCCATTCAACTTCCGGACTTAGCGATGATGGCTTCTATTCAGCTTCTGCGCAGCTTCTTTAGCCCAGCAGCCCTCACCCCTTCAATTTCGAATGCATTGTTGGTAGCTTGACAATTTCTAGATTGTAAGAATCTCGGGAGCGAGGGCGACCCCAGAGCAAGCTGAAACGGTCAGTGACGAGTGGCTCTTGCTTGTCCTTCTCGTTGGTAGCTTTGCAAGCTTCTACATCCACTCTCTCCAGCTTTCGTCCAACAATGTTCCAGCACTCTGCATCGCCATCATCGGGCAGGCATATATTGTAGTCCTCGGGATACAGGCTGGCACCCGCTCAGCCGCAGAGACAATTCAAGGAGGTAAGCTGAAGGCGCCAACATGGACAGGCAGCAAGCCCTATAGTATCCTCCGCTATTAACTCCCCAAGCACCGAATCAGCGAAATTCTTTGAGCCCATCTCTTGGGACGTTTCCCCTTATACTAACAGCCCTTACTAGGGATAGTACCCCCTATTCTAATCCCTCTTCGGAGGGATTATAGTAACCCCCCATTATAATCCCTACTAGGGAATATAGTACCCCCTACAATAATCCCTATACTAGGGGTCCCAGGAGCTCTTCGTATAAGGGGAAACTATTTGAAGCCCCATCTCCTTCCGCAGCTCGTGGGCCAAGGCGGCCTCGAAGACGACCCAGCAGCGCTCCAACGTCTCGGCCGAGTTGTCCTGGCCACAGAGGGTTTCTTGTTTAGGGTTTAGGGTTTAGGGTTTAAGGTTTAGGGTGAGGGTCATCAAGACTTTGCCGGGTTGGTGTCGGAATGGAGGCTCAAAGAAGTCAATGATGAATGCTAGCCCTCGCTTAGGTACTTGCCACCCAGCCAGAGCGGCGCAAAGCCTGATTCTAGCTCTTGGCTCCCAAACTCTACCCGAATCCCTTGCCCCAGTCAGCATCCCCGACATATCTCATCAGCCGGGGCTCTGTCAAGACCAGCACCCGGTGAGCTGCCCTCATGCTCACAGCGAAGGGACAGCGATCCAGAGAGGAAAGGCTGGCGGAGACATCGCCATGCTGCCACCTTTACGCATGCTGCTTTTTGCGAGACGCACTGCGTCAACAGGGATGCTTTGAACAAATGTTGCCCCTTATTTGGGTGCGTAAAATGTACTTGATCATGAGGAGAATCGTCTTGAAGCCGTTCTGGGGCATGACGACAGAAAACATAAAAACACGAGGCTGACATTCCCAACTCAAAATGTAAACCTCCACAGCTGTGAGTTCGGTCCGCAGTCGTTATTCACGCACTCGCTTCACCTCTAGCCGGTTCTTGGGCTGAAGCGGGACCTAGTGCATGTTGCAGATTAGGGATCCTAAGCCTTTGAGACACTGGGTCCGTGCACGGCTTCATCTTGCCAAGCAGCAAGGCAAAGCTGCAAATCCAAACGACAGCCTGCAAGCCACTCAATTCACATCCTCTTTCGTTCATGAGAACGTGCGATGGAGCATCCGATCTACTCAACTCGCCGCGAATCTCGCCCTGTTCTGGAGAAAGCCAGGCCTTAACCCGATTAAATCTTTCTTTGAGCAAGGAGCCTGCGCGTCCAGCAACCGGAAGAGCCTGCACGATGTGTCCACAGCACAGGTGCAAGCAGTCTTTAGTTTGCTGTGAGCTCAATAGATCAAAGCAAAAGCTTTGACAGGCCAAGTCTCGTCTGCGCAAAGTCTTCGAATGCTTCACTCCAGCTGTGCGAAACAAAGGTCGTGGCCATGCAGAACAAGTCCTCATTGCGGGTAGCCGTGAAACTTTTGAGCGGGTTCTGGGTCAGCCAGAAGACCCTGTGCAAACTAGTGCACGTCGCCAAAGAGGCTACACATCGAGAAGATGTAACAACTTCATTCCTTGGAAGAATCGAGGCAACCTTTCATGCCCAAGTCTGTGGGGCAAGCTTTTTCCTGTGGGACCTGGCTTGCCATTCTGCCGGTTATGCCTGGTGGCTCCATAACACTGTGTTTGGCAAGCCGGGGCGCTGCGCATTTCCGCGACCAAGCAATGCTTCCAGCATTCAAGACTAAGGCCAAACCAGCGTCCTGGGTGACAGTCTGGAGCAGTGCCATTAACAAGAAAGAAGAACGATTCTTCAAAGAGTTCCCCTGCGCGTTTCGCATTGCCACACCCTGCAAGGTATGCGGGCCTGCAGTGTCACGCGCGTTCTAGCCCACAGCAATACAGAGCTTGCCTTGAGCCCATTTACATCTTGCCCTCTCCAGGGGATGCCGGGCCCATGTCTCTGAGGTCCCTTTACCCCAGAACAATGCATGTTACCTTCTGGTGCTGCACCAGCTGCGAATCCCCGCGTCCAAGGCATAACATACCGCTGGACCACCAAGTGCATGTCCTTGGTGCTCTGGCCAAGGCTAGTCTAATGTCAGACCGCAAAAACCCTCGAAACCACAAGCCCATAACAAGCCAACAACCCTTCAGGCGACCATCTTTCTGGCAAAGCGGCCCCGTGCATCTGCCGCAGATGTCGTGAGGAGGGCGCGCCCGAAGCAGCGGAAGCGCAGGTTCTCTCCTTGCACTTTGGCGCTGAAGAAGCACTCCCGGGCCACAGATGTGAGAAGAGGGTGTGGGGCTAGCTTAGAAGAAAGCGTCCCTGTCTGCCAGCCAGTCTTTCAACCACCGTGCTTGTCATGGTGTCTAGGCAACACAACTAATTCCTTCAAGTGGCCCCATGGCTCCACAAACAAGGGCTCACGATGCAGTAGTGCTCTCCGTCTTTGTCCACCTGGAGGTGAACCCGTATTGTCGTGGACAAACCTTTTTGCAACGCAGCGCCCTAAACCTACTACCTGCCACGACGCATACCACTTCGCCATGCCTGTCGTCTCTATCTGCAAGCCATTTCAAGCACCCGAGAGCCTGAAAGCCCAAAACCTTTCTTTAAGACAATCGCTCCAAGCACCAGGCCGCACCCACGAGCCTTGTGCGCTGCAGAATAGCCGGCCAAGTCCTGGAGCTGGGAACTAGCGGCCACAGGTGAAACTCGTAGGTGGGGTGTGCGGCTTCATCGCGCCTTCATCTCCTTCACTATGGCTCCATGCGGCCATAAACTAGCGGAGCTTCTCTGGAGACAGTCATGTACAGGACATATTCTGCCGCGGATAAATGACTCATGGCGCACTCGCAACACTGCACCGTACCGCCGCCTCCCCCCAAACAATTTCGGACGTTCTTCAAAATACAGGGGTGGAGTGGCGAGGTTCTCATTGAGGGGTTTTAAAGTTGTGCTCGTTCCTGCCAGGGTCCTCCTTGACATAGAGCCACAGCTTCCAAAGAAAGTCCACGCGCATGCCCCAGGCTTCCGGCTGCTGCTTCCTTAGTAAGAGCGACCGAAGCAGCCTCTACATATGAGGCAAGCCCAGAAACGCAACTGCTTGTAGTTGCCTGTGCGGCCCTCCGGGCCCTCTTTTTTCAGAATGCAAACACGCAACCTCTTTCAACCTTAGTGCCTTAGTCGTAAGCACACCCAGGAGCTCTTAGAAACCCTCAGCCCGCGCCCCCGACGGCAGCCGGGAAGCTTCTCCGGGAAGGAGGCGCAACACTCATGAAAGCCGCCCTGCAAGGCCTGCTCGATCAGATCCTGGGCTGGAGCTTCGGTATCTAATAGGCATCTCTTCAGGGTCTATCACCATCCGTCTTTGTGGAGAAGCCCCCCCCCCCCCCCCCCGCAGACCTTCTCAAAAACCCTCCAAGGGGCTGAGTTGATCTGAAAGTGGTCGTCGAATGCTTTGTCGAAGACTGTTACGCCCAGGCCGTCCTGCATTTCCGCTTTGTGCCCTTACTCCTGCCTGTCGCACATCAACCCCAGCCATGTTCATGCCCCATTGGTGCAAGTGTTGCCGGGGGTCGGGGTGGAAAGCCTAAAGCCCTGAACCCTCAACCCCTTTAAACCCCTTCTCACCCCTTTCAAGCCCTTTCAAGCCCCCCTTAAACCCCTTTAAACCCCTCTTTGCAGGGTGTCCTCGAGAACCCCAGGCTTCCACTCGCCGGACGGCTTGCGGCTGGGTAGTCTCTTCGGATTGGGGTCGGCCATGGCGAGACAAGGAAAGAGTCGAGGCTCCGGGTTTGGGGGTGTCAGGGCTGAGTCGGGCTGAGGGTCTGGAGAAGCTAGCGATGGACTCCATTCCGGAAGTGGCGAGGTTCAAGTAGAGCGAGCAAGTTGCTTGCGACTTAGCGTCTTCCACGTTCCATGCCATTGAGCTTGTGGTCTTGGGATCGGTTCTGTGCTGGTATGTGCTTTGCAGGCCCCTTGTCTGCTCTGCATGTAGACTTGCCGCCATCTACTGTACAGGAGCGCCACCTCAGGCGGCGCTCAAACCGGTGGCTGCATAGCCCGCCCGGCCAGCTTGGGCCAAAAGGCAGGGCGGCTTCCGCCATGAAAGGTTCTTTGCTGTTACGGGGGTTCCTTTAGGACGTATGTGCAGGTCCTGGGAGGAGAAAGGATCTTGTTTGGGGGGCTAATAGGGCTGAGGGGCTAGCAATGAACACATTCCTTGTTTGCCGGCCATGCCCAAATCAGAGTCCCACTATCCTGACACTATCTCATGGAAACACCTTGACGAGCGACCACACTCAGTGGCTGTAGTCGATCCAAATGCGAAACGTTTCCAACCCCAAGTCACGTGCACGCAACTTATCCGGGATTCTTGCTCCCCCAACAGCAGCCCCACGTATGTTTTTTTCACATCCCTGCTGGGCATCGGCCTTGAGGGCGTCAGACCTGGAGCTCGTGCGTTTATCAGGGCTCTGGCGGGTCCTGAATCTCAACTTGTGCGAGGCAAATTGTTGAGTCGGGAGAGTCGGGAGGGTTAGCGGCGGCACCGGTCGGGCGGTTGGGGGGGGTTGATCCAGAAGATCTTTCGAGGCTGCCATGAGAATTGTTCGTTATCAGCTCTGGTCCATGTACCAGCTTGGGCCTGCACCCACTGCATAACTTCAATGTTGGAGTAGGGAACTGTATGAGGAAACAGCATGTGCGTTTCTGCTTTGCAGTAGCCGGGTAGGTCCACGTCACTACTCCATCTCGAAATGAATTTTCAACCTCGTACCGGGCGGAAAGCTTGCACCTTTGCTGAGCTTCCTGCTCTGCCTTCTGCTGCGAGACGCGCAACTGCTCACACTCCTTGGCCATCGAAAGCAGCTCTGCAGCTCATGTGGCTTGGACCGTTCACTTTCTTGCAATGGTTTCTTGAAAGGGTCTTCTCATCTTGGCTGCAACTCGTTGTTGCTCCATTAGAACGTGCAGAAGGAGGAAAGGCGAGTTACGGGTGGGTAGGTGCTGCTTTCTATTTGTTTTACAAGCCTCCTTATAAACGGTAGCCTCGCCCATTGTGTTGGGAAGCATCGAAAGTATGGCAAGCGTGGCATAAACACCAAGTGGCTTACAACGAAACAACGCCTAGAGGGTGTACCACAGGAAGCGCAATGCCGACCCCAACAGCCCAAACTGCTTCTCGGTGACAGGACCCTCCCATGCAAATGCACCATAACGCCTATAACTTGAGCACTCAGACATCTCAGATCTCAGCAGGGCATCCTTAATCGCTACAGCGGGCCATTGCGGCAAACTCAACTAACGCCAAGGAGTCTCAAAACCAGAAGCCTAAGCTCTCAGATCTCAGATCCTGAACCGGAAGTCTCGTTAAAATCTGGTGACTCTAGGTGACTAGGCCGCACGCGGTGCGCAAGGCGGCAGCCCGGTCCCTTTGTGTGAGTGTCAGAATAAGAGCTCGGAAAAAGAGTGGCAGAGAGAGCGAGAGATGACAAAACACATACGAAACCGAACCAGAAGAACCGCAGCAGCAGCAGCGGATGCTTGGGGCCCAGGGTTCAGGCAGTCTAGTTGTAGCATTCCCGGAATAAAAGCAGACTGTTTTGCACATGCTCTGGGAATTTGAAGATTGGGCGAGATGGCAATGAGCCATTCTAAACCCTGAACCTGGAGCCTTATGTACTTCTCTGGACCAGATTGTTGCAACATCCTCCCGGAAGACATGCGGACCTGGTGCTGCGTTTTTGCTCTCTCGGTGGCTTGCTCCAAGCGCGGGCTCGCGCTACCCATCGTCCCATCGTCACTGCCGCGCAGCAGGGGAACGAACGATTCCCACGCCGCGCTGACAGCAGTGAGCCGCTGCCTATGGCATTTACCATGGATCTGTCTCATCCTCTGAGTCTGAGACAGCTCTAAAAGAGCTTCAATGAGCCTCCTATGTCCTATGTCCACTACGCATGGTCATGATGTCATGATGGGCACAAAGGTCCCAAAGTCAAGTCTGAGCTTCGCGATTTCTCTCATCAGAGTTCGGTTTACCATGATACTGTGGGCCTGCCATATCTACGCCTACCGCACTTGCGATGCTTCTTCAGTTAAAATATGCGTTCCTCTCAGGAACGTGGCGCCGAGTCCTTTGGGGTGAGTGTGAGTGGCTACCGGGCTGTCAGCCCAAGCATGACGATCTCTAGCTTCGGACAAGTCAGGCTTCAACCCAAAGGCATCGGCAGATATTGCCGCGGCCGATCTGATCACAGACTCGCGGAGGGTCGAGCACAACGGGGCTTGGGTTCCTCGAGGGGGTAGAATGGTCACAGGCTCTTGCTGGGAAGCTGCAAAGGGGCTGCCACGGTTCAGGGAAAACCCGAATGGCTCCGCCAAAGCCCCAGCTACTTCTCTTGCGCCGCGCACTCTTCTGACGGCTCATCCATCTTCCTGCAGCACGATAGAAAACCAAAATCATGTGTGAAGAGCTTTAACTTTAGGAGGTCAGGTCGTGCAGCATGTGCTGCATGTGCTCCCCACAACTTCGGTATGAGAGTTAGGTTGCAACCTGTGAGCAAAGGTCCCCGGTCCCCAAAGCAAATCTCCATCTTGACACCAATCGGCAGGGCAACCTGCCTAAAGGTCTGCTGCAGATGGATGCCGAACTCGTCAAGCCTAAAGTGGAAGCCAATAAGGCATTCGGATTCGGGAAAGCCGTCAAACTTACACTAGGCTATCAGCGTTAGCCTCTTGGGCAGGGTGGTTGTTGGCGAAGAGAGCAGCACCATTTGAGTGCCATCAGCCATGACATGCACAGGAGCACCCAGGAACATCTTGATTCTCATCAAGAATCAGCTACTGAGAGACACAATCAGATCAAACCATTTCACCTCTTGAAGCCTGGATTTAGATATGAAGACAAAAAGCCCGTGCTGGCAACATCTGGAAACAGTAATAGTCTGCTCAGTCACAGTACTAAGAGCGCACAAAGCAACGAGCCCTGAACAAAGCTGCTTCCAAAAACATTCTGAGCTCGTGGCTTTTTCAAGATCACGTTCACGCACTGAACCTTGGTTGAGGACTTACTGTCAGGACATTCAGAAGGCATTCGTGCACTGCGCGCTGAAGCCATGAACCCTTATTGGCCTTAAGCCCCTTCTGCAGCTCCTAGCTGTTGCCATGACTTCTTAGACGGCGACTGCCGGTCCCACTCACATTGCGGCCTTCGCTGAAAGTAGTAAACATCGGACACCTTCACAACTTGACAAGCCAAGCTGCCACTGTATGCTGGTCAGTTCTGACGTGCACTTCTGGGTTCACGGGCCTTGGTCACCGCAACCGAAACGTTTGGAATGGCAAACGCAAAGGGCCGAAACTGTTGTTGTGACACTTGCGAGGGTGACAAGTCATGGCCAATGCTCAGAAGTAGGGGTCGTTAGATTTTTGTGGCGGCCGACAAGAGTTAGCATGACCTGCACAGACTGCGGAATGTGCTCGTTTCGAGGCATTGTGAGGCTCCGGCCTCCTACCCAACCCCTAAACATCCCTAAACCCTAAACCCTAAACCCGAAATCCCAAGCCACACTCTGTGAGCCCAAGAGGCTTCTCGTAGGGGGCGTCAATGCCCGTGAAGCCTTTGATCTTGCCCTCACGGGCCTTCCTCGACTTCGGGTTTAGGGCATAGGGATTTTTTTGAACGTTCCCACAAACGAATCAGGACCTAGAGATCCTGAACTCCTTCACACGAAGCGCGAGTGCATCGCAGTCTCTTGTAGAGGCCCTTCGGATCTCGACTCTCGACGGCTGCCAGCGGTGCATCCACGAAGACCTGGTCGAGTCGAGGGCTTTTGTCAGAGAAGATTTGGGGTTTTGGGGTTTAGGGTTTAGGGGGAGTCTTGAGAAGGCTTGAGAAAAAGGCTTGAATTGGGCCTCTTGAAGGAGGGTCTTGGAGCTTCAGAGTTGCTCTCGCGAGAATTCATCTGGGAGACCATACTGGGAGGAGTAGCATGTCATGGAAGCATGTGGCCTCCATGAAGGGCAGGGAGGCATTCTTGTGGACCTGCAGAACGGCTCAAGCGCTTGCAAGTCCGCAACAACTTCGGGCCCAATCTCCAGGAGCCGCGCTTTTGAAACCGAGAACCATGTAAGGAAGAGAACTGCTCTTCCCGAGGGAAAGCATGCAAACTACGCCGCCCCAACTCGAAAACCACGAATGAGGCCAAACCCTCGAAGTCCTCGCAAAGCCCTCCGTGCCATGACTTCTTCTTTTCGCCCCGGAGCTTTACAACTCTGCCTCGCGTGCATACTCGCGATCTGCAGCATAGGGCGAGATCAGGCCGGCGATGACGATGGCCCCAGCCTTGGGCTTTGCTCATTTACATCTCATAGCGTGCGGTTTCGGTGGCTTCCGGGGTGCTGATATCTCAAGCTTTCGGCGTTGAGGGTAGTGCAGTTCCGAAGCTCACGTTGCCTCCTGTTCTGCCTTTGAACGGCGCACGCGTGTCGGAAGGTCGTTCTTTGAACCAACTTATTCTATCTTATTCTTACTGGAAACCGTCGCCGAGGTCCGAGCCTCTGCAAACAGCTTGGACACCTGGCATTGAAGAGTACGAGGGGAGATCTCTGGAGCGCAGGTAGAAACACCCAACCTCCAAACCTGAATCTACTTGCAGTGCTGCTGCAGTGCTGGGCATTAGTCTGAAAAGCCTGTCCCAGCATCTGAGGACTTTGCGCAGTGACACGGTTGTTTCCCAAAATGGGTACCCCTGTTATACCCCCCAAAAAAGGACCCCCAAAAAGGGCACCCCCTATTTTCGGAAACCCCCACATTATGCATCCAGCTTCCATTCCCGAAACGTCGCGCGTGGCCTCCGAGACTCGTCGGACATTCTCCTTGCGATCGTTGGGGCTGAAGCCCAGATCCCTGGCTGCATCGGACCATAAAAAGGGGTATAATGAGGGAATCCTAGAAGGGACCCTTCATCCTATTCCCCAAAACCCTAAAGGTCCCTTCCCGAACAAGGGTCCCTCCTTTAGTCCCTGAACGTCGAGGCCTAAGTAGACGGTGTGTTGCCATGAGCCCAACATTCCGTACATTCCCCACAGCCCTGAAGCTATGCTTCACCCCCACACCCTCGTCCACGATCCACATTCACACCTGCCCTGCAGGCTCGCACCTGTTCAGCCCGAATCGCAAGTTGTCACCATCCAATCGGTACCTCTCCCATGAGTTTTGTGGCTTTGGCCCATCTGTTTTTGTTTAAGGCTCCCTTGAATGGCCAGTACCATAGGTTTGCTGCACCAGAGGGGTGCTGGACGTCCTGCCCAGGTCCGACCTCTAAAGTAGGTTTGAGTAGATTGGGAGCCAAGGAGCTGCTTAGAGTCGATGTTCAGCACGCTGCAAGTCGGAACCAGCTTGCTGCAGGCTGTCGTAAGGTGATCAGATGTGATCAGCATGCATGGATGCACCCAGGGTCTAAATCTCTACACCCACATCCCCCAAAAGGGCCCCACCACCCAAGCTCGCTGAGGCCCTTGCACGAAGTAGCTTTTGGGCTGCATCTCGACGAGAGCACGCTCCAGGGCCACCTCGTGGAAGGGCGAGCCGCAAGTCATGGGTTCACAATGGAGCCTAGAGGGTTTGGGGGGCAGAGAGCCTGAGTGCCTCATGTGAGAGAAGAAAACTCGGGGATGATGCCAAATCATCATCTTTTCTTCTGAGCCACACGACAACCGCAAGGAAAATCGTACAATAACTACAGACACCGTGCCCGCACGCCATGCTGCATGCTACAGCTAAACTGAACTACATTACCTGCAAAACGACGACTGGCCCAGTTGTTACAAACCATACAAACCAAGCTTGGGTGTTCCAGCATTGCGGGGCAATAAGCTTGCCACGAACGTGGGGTTGCACATCTGCTCCGTGATTGCCAAGGCATATATTTGGTCTCATGAATTGGGTCTAATGAAAGCTGAATTTACATAGAAATGACGCCTACATTGAATGCCGAATCTGATCTGTGGGAGCAGGTTCTTGCACGATGGAAGGGCGGAGAATTATGACCCATGAGACCCTCCTCCAAAAAAAACACCTCAACCATTACGAATACTTACATCCGGGCTTCTAGTCCAACGAACTCAGAGGTCACGTGTCAGAGTGTGCTAGAATTCCATGGAGATGGCACGCCCCATGCTTAATTAACTAGCCTCGTCTCAATTTAAGCAACTTGCTCAACTCAGACTCCCCACGCTAATGGTGCTCTTGCCGCTGCCAGAAAGGCCCGTCCTCAGCCAAAGCACACACACACACACACATCCACACGCACACAGGCACACAGGCACACGCAGAGAGGCACACACACCCACCCGCCCACACACCCGCACACCTGCACACACGCAGACCCGCACACCTCCACACCCCCACGCCCCCACACCCGCACACCGACATAGAGAGACAGAGAGACAGAGAGACAGAGAGACAGAGAGACAGAGAGACAGAGAGACAGAGAGACAGAGAGACAGAGAGGCAGAGAGACAGAGAGACAGAGAGACACAGAGAGACAGAGAGACAGAGAGACAGAGAGACAGAGACACAGAGAGACAGAGAGACACACAGACACACAGACACACAGACACACAGACACACAGACACACAGACACACAGACACACAGACACACAGACACACAGACACACAGACACACAGACACACAGACACACAGACACACAGACACACAGACACACAGACACGCACGCACACGCACAGGCACACGTGTGCTATCGTGCGTTGCAGGTTTCACCCGCATTCGAGAACCTCCATCCCTTCAACCCTGGGCGCCTCCAACCTTTCCAAGCCCTGACCGCCAAACGCCGAACAACCCAACTTCTCAGCCAGGCCCGAGGCATCCAAAGCGTGATGCCCATGTGGCCTGGACCGGGTAACACACGTCTGGTACATTGACGTAGCAACCCCTAAAACTCGGGGTCGCGAAAATCAGCTAGCTGCTTCGACAGTAATCGGGGAAATGTGGGGCCATGCGAATTCCGAAGATTCCGGGCCACTTTGCATTTCGTCAACGTTTCTTTGACTTCTGGCTTCGCCTCTTGTTTGATTTTCTTCCCTGACCTCTCCGGCGCAAGCATGGATTACAAGTGTTTGTCGGTGTGCTGCTGGAGCACGCTTGCTCCTTCCAAAATCGCTTGGCGCTACTGTCGATGTTGGTTCTTTGTCCTGGTATTGCTGCATCGCTTGACGCGCTTACGCACCACCAGTCGAGCAGAAGGACTGCTAGCAAGCTGCTAACTGCTAGCTGCCAGCTCATCTGCGCGAAACAATTTCTTACCTGAGATTTGCACCGTTCGACTTCCATTTCTCCTCGCGGGGGAGGCCCTCGTGAAACCTGGGTGGCGCACATGCACATGTGGCTAAAACACGTAACCGACATGCAGCTAGGCATAGTTAGGCGAATAGCCACTGGCACAGTCGCTATGGCTAGCAACAGACTCGGCAGTTTCCAGCACAGGAAAAGAGTGCGTATTCGATTTGGGCACTGCTGCGGTGTCTGCCTGTGTGTCCGCTACGCCCAGGCACAGGTGGTTGGGCCAAGCCATTTTTTCACAAGGGACCTCGACTGCTGCCAAGCCATTGAAGACACAAACTTGAGCCCAAACCCCAAGACCCCTCCATGGCAAGGAGCTTGATGTTGGTGCTCTTCACATCAGCGCCCAAAACCTTGCGAGAGTTTTCATCACGGCCCTTCAGCCCCGCACCCTTGACCATCTTGGCAGCATGCGCCTCGCAAACCCCCTGAATGACCCCGAATGCCAGCTTCCAAGCCCCCAAAAGCACGTCGAAATCCCAACGAACTAGGTGAAAGGGAGGGTGTCTGGGGGCAACGTACTAGGGCTGTACTGACACGGTTGCAAACCGCCGCTGTAAATTCAAGCCAAGCCATGCGCCGTACTGAAGCCAGTGAATAGGCAGCGGCGCTGTAATATACCGTGTTTGAAGCGTGCAAATAGGTAGGTATTTTGTACCTGCCGTATGCAAAAAAAAATGTGGCTAGGCTTTGTGAGAAGTGCGCACTTATGTTAAGCAGATATGCCGAATGGGCAGAAACTTACCGTATCTGGAGCCGGCGGAGAGCTCGGGTCTAGGGGATAGGGGCAACTCATGGATAGAAAGAGTACACATTAGTACACTTTGTTGTTCAACGCTGCACCCTTACACATAGGCCCCCCCGAAACCCAAAACACGGTATGAAGCTCTTGAACCTGGGCCTTCACACCTTCATGCCAGTCAGGGCTGAGGGTCTTGGACACCGTAAACCCAACCAAGGCTCATCAGCCCCCACCCCCCCCTTCTTAGGGCTTGAGCTTCTCAACCTCTCAACCTCTCAACCCCTGAGCCCCAAACGCTCGCGACATGGCCGCGACATGCAGGATCGGCCAGACTACCCGACCTCTTTAGCTCAGGGAAGAATGAGCGGAGCCTCTGCAGATCGGCTCCCATCAGATTGACCTGTACCCTGCCCCGGTTGCTGCGGATCGCATTGGGTATGCCGCAAGTGTCCAGCAACTTGAGCACCGCAGCCTGCACGTCCGTCGTTTGCCAAGTTTCCCGCGATTTGCCCCAGCCAGTTATGATCTCAAAAGAAGTTGCATCGATTGCAGGTCCCTCGCGTCCATCGACTAGCTGTTCTGGGACGATTTCGGCTAACCACCAAAGCACGGCCAGCATCGCTGAACCACAGGAGTGATCATGAAGATCAATTTGCACTCCACGTGCACGCAGCATGTCTGGCCAGGCTTGGTCTAGCAAGGCTTCTCGGAACAGGTCAAAGCCAACGACTTCCGTGTATACTGCGTCCAGCACTTGGGCGTAAGTGTCCGTGTCTTGCTTGAGGCTCCGTGTCCTCATGGACGAAAACACAGACAAGGCAAGATCCCAAAGGCGGGCTGAACCAAGTGCGCCAATGCAAGCGTTGAAGGTGATCTGGTTGGGCGCAAGTCGCGCCACCGGCATCTCGGCAAACAAGTGCAGGGACCTCTCCCACTCCCCGCCCTTTCCACAGGCACTGATGCCAGCATTGAAGCTGACCATGTTGGCCAGCACTCTGGCGGCTGGCATCTGCGAAAGCAATCGCAGGGCCATCTGCCACTCACCGCCTTTCTCACAGGCGCTGATGGCAGCATTGAAGCTGAAAGCGTTTGGCAACACACTGACTGCCGACATCTGCCGGAGCAAGAGCAGGGCCATCTGCCACTGACTGCCTTTCTCACAGGCGCTGATGGCAGCCCTGAAACTGCGCACATTTGCCTGTACTCTGGCTTTCGACATCTGCATAAGCAAGTGCAGGGCCATCTGCCACTCGCCGCCTTTCTCAAAGGCGCCGATTGCGGAATTGAAGCTGATCTCGTTTGGCACCATACTGGCTGCGGGCATCTGCGAGAGCAAGCACAGAGCCATCTGCCACTCACCACCTTTCCCACAAGCGCTGATGCAGGCGTTGAAAGTGATCGCGTCCGGTAAAACTGTGGCTGTCGGCATCTGCCGAAACAAGTCCAATGCCATCTGCCACTCGCCAGCCTTCTCACAGGCGCTGATGCCTGCATTGAAGCTGATGTCGTCTGGCACCACACTGGCCGTTGGCATCTGTGCGAGCAAGTGCAAGGCCACCTGCCATTCGCCGCGTTTCTCACAAGCACTGATGCCAGCGCTGAAGCTGATCTCGTTGGGCACAACACTGGCTCTCGGCATTCCTTCAAGCAAGTGCAATGCAATCTGCCACTCGCCACCTTTCTCACAAGCGCTGATAGCAGAACTGAAGCTGATCTTGTTAGGCAACACGCTGGCGATCGGCATCTGCGACAACAAATGCAAAGCCATCTGCCACTCGCCACTTTTCTCACAGGCACTGATGGCGGAACTGAAGCTGCGCACGTTTGGTACGACGATGGCCTTCGACATCTGCGAGAGCAACAGCAAGGCCATCTGCCACACACTGCCCTTCTCACAGGCGCTGATGCCAGCGTTGAAGCTAATCTGGTCCGGTATGACTGCAGCTGCCGGCATCTGCGAGAGCAGCTTTAGGGCCATCTGCCACGCGCCGGCCTTCTCGCAGCCGCTGATCACAGAATTGAAGCTGACGTCGTCCGGCACGACTCTGGCTGCCGGCATCTGCGAAAGCAATTGCAGGGCCATCTGCCACTCACCGCCTTTCTCGCACGCGCTGATGCCTGCATTGAAACTGATCTCGTCCGGCACAGCTGTGGCTGCCGGCATCTGCGAGAACAAATGCAAGGCCATCTGCCACTCACCGCCTTTCTCACAGGCACTCATGGCAGCGCTGAAGCTGATCTTGTCCGGCGCAACTTCGGCTCTTGACATCTGGGAAAACACATGCAAGGCCATGTGCCACTCGCCACCTTTCTCACAGGCACTGATGGCGGAACTGAAACTTTGGACTTGGGGCACCACTTGGACCAGCGGCATGTGGGAAAGCAAAAGCAGGGCCACCTGCCACACACCACCTTTCCCACATGCGCTGATGCAAGCGTTGAAAGTGATCGCGTCCGGGATAATTGCGGCGATCGGCATCTGCAAAAACAAATG